GGGCAGCATAATTGCAATGCAACTCCCCCGGCAGCTGGCATCCAGCTCTGTGAGGGTTCACATCTCATCTGCATTTGTTGAATCAAGTGTGTGTGATGTGGAGGTGGTCTGAAAACTGGAGGAGAAAAAGCCCTTGAACAGGCAGCAAACCCTTTCTTCCTCTGGAAAAAACCAAAGTAAATAACAGAAGCTGTGTCTCTCACTGGCTATTGCACTTGCTGTTGTATTAAAATTTCCAGGTCACATGCTGGAATTCTGTGGCCATCACGTGTGCTTGACCATACAGTGTTTGACAGATGCGACACTGGTTGTACTGATCCCTCTGCTCTGGAGAGCAGGGGAAGTGGAGGCTGCAGCTGATTCTCCGCATGATTTGCTGCAGGGCAGCGCTAATGAGAAACCCCTAATGTGAAAAAAAAGGGCTTGTAACTGGGGGGGGGGGGGCGGGAAATCCAATGAATGTTTAAAAAGGAAGATTCAGCTCAGCTGTTCCCATAGGGAGTTTGCTGACCAGCTTTTTTCTTTTTGATATCACTGCAGATCAGCAGTTCACTCTGTACTACAGACCTCTCTTCTAAAGCTTGCCAGCTCTCCCTTCCAATGATTTGACAGAACATTCTTGCTGTAGATATGCAGAGAGATGCTGAATTTGTGAGAACAGAGACTGGATTTTTACTGGTAGCAAGAGAGCATTTGTCTTTGATTCACAAGGATAATAATTTAACAAACAAGTAATCAGAGGAAATAGATTTCAACAGTGTGTTTCATCAACAGACTTAGATGCAGTGTGATATCTTTTAGAGTCAAATAATAACCTTCAATTTCTACAACAACATAACATTCTTAAAATAAAAAGAATAAAAAGAAGTTTCTATAGGACAGTATATCAATAGATTACATATTTTTGTATCCTGCCTTCTAAAGCAGCCCCATTCAGAGCTGTGACTGAAGAAAGCCACAAACACAGCAGTGTCAAAGAACGTGGTCTGCACCACCCCATGGCAACACAGGAAATATGTTTTCTTTTAGGTTAGTGAGATATAATAACTTCTATGATTAACAGGAACGTTGATTAAAATCAGACCACTCATTAATTTACCTTAATGACAGGGTACAGGTAATACCTTTTAAATAAACAATTAAAAGGAAGGAAAATATTGGAGGTTATTATTTGAGAAATATTGATAAACAACTAACCTTTATGTACTATAAATGAAATTCAGCTAAGCATAATCTGTCTTTGTTACTGTAAAAGCTTTATAGACAGAAAAATTATAATTAGGTATAATATTTTTTCTTAATAGCTGAAATAATTAATAACAAACAAAGAAAGAAAAAGGCAAAAAAACCCCCCATCAATAAAAAAGTCCTGTTGCAGATGAGGTAATCCTTTAATCTCTGTGGAAATATATGTGCATTTTTTTCTTCTACTAGTCAGGTTTATCTGAGGAAAAAAAGAAAAGCAGGCTGAATTTACACCTGGAGAAGTGAAATTTAAAGCAATACCTGAAAGAGTTAATAATATTTTCTAGATTATCTTATTTATTACATCGTAGTAACCTAATTTATTTCTGTCTGCCTCATTCTTTAATTAAAGGTATAAACTAAGCACAGTTTAAGAACTATATAATGTCAGTGAACATTACCTGCATTTCGTGTTTGTATCTGTTGATAATGGAGCATTCCAAATAACAATTTGTGAATTATTCTGCCAGCCCAAGGAGGCGTTTTCTGGCTGTTATCAGCATTGTCTGTTTGTGAAAGTTTCTGTTCACATGTCCTTTCATGTTACTGCTTAAAAGACACTCATTCACACACTTGAAAGCATAGGTATGTTTAAATATTTATGGAACAAGAGGAATTTTCAAAATCTTCCTCTAGAAGACTGTTAGTGGGAATTTGCATGTTGAAGTACACACAGCAGGCACAGCAATTTTTAAACTCATAGAACAATTTAGACTCATTGAACAGCCCAGCTTAGGAGAGCCCTCCAAACTGGCCTAGCCTTTTGTGGGAAAGGGAGCCTAGATGAGATTATTTAGCACCATGCCCAGTCACATCTTGAAAATCTCCGGTGACCCTACCATGTCTCTGTGGAGTTTGTTCCCACTGTGAAAAAAATTCTTTCTTTATTGAGATGAAACCTTTCCCAGTGTCACTTGTGTTCCTTGCCCCTTGTCTTCCTTCTACTCCCCTCTGATGAGACACCACCTGGAATACTGCATCCAGCTCTGGGGTCCCATCGCAGGAAGTCCATAGAATTACTGATGCCAGTCCAGAGGAGGCCACAAAGATGATTAGAGGGATGAAACACCTCTCCTCTGAAGAAAGGCTGAGAAAATTGGGATTACTCAGAGTGGAGAAGAGAAAGCTCTGGGGTGACTTTGTAGCAGCATTTCAGTGCCTAAAGAGGTCTACAGGAGAGCTGGAGAAGGACTTTTGATAAGGGCATGTAGTGGCAGGACAAGGGGCAAGGGTTTAAACTGGAGGAGTGCAGGATTAGATCAGACAGTAGGAAGAAATTCTTCCCTCTGAGAGTGGTAAGGCCCTGGAACAGGTTGCCCAGATGATCAACCTGTGGATGGTCTGTCCCTGGAAGTATTCCAGACCAGGTTGGATGGAGCTTTGAACAACCTTGTCTAGTGGAAACTGTTTCTGCCCATGGCAGGGGGCCTGGAACCGGATCATCTTCAAGGTCCCTTCCAATCCAAATCCTTCTATAATTTATGATTCTATGATTCCCCATGCGATTTCTGTTAAAGAAAGAGCTTCCATCTTCCTTGTAGCCACACATTAAGTGATGGAAAACTGTGATGAGGTCAGAAAATGGTAAGTTAAATTCATCTGTTCAATGCTGCACTGGGAAAGTGGCAGAGGAATCCAAACCCTCAGGGAGAGCTGTGAGCAGAGGGAGAAGTGCCTGCCTCCTTGCTGTTTGGTACCACCTTTGGCAGAGGAGATGGGTGTAGTGTGTGCCAGTGCAGCTGCTGAAGGACAGACATACAGTGAGTTCAGGCATGATGAGTGAGTGTGGAGTGAGACAGGAGCTGCTGAACTGTGCCCACATCCCATAGGTTACACCGAAGGGTGCCCAGGATTCAATGTGTGTGCTCGGTACTCCTGCCAGCAGCTCTCCCTGCCCCAGGAGACAGCTGCTCCCAGCAGCACAGCTTCTGGAGCTGTAGATGTGGATGTGCCGTGTTGCTTGTGTGTGCCTCTGCCCAGCCCAGCTGCCAGGTGTGAGCTGGGTGCGCTGCGGGGGCAGAGCAGAGGCTCCATGCAGGCAAAGAAGCTTGTTCCAGTTCTTTCAGACTTTGTCCCTTTTTGTGTTCTGTCAGTGAACGATGGAGGACTGCTGCAGAAAATTTTCACTGTAAAGAGGCCTGACCATGACTTTTAGATGATTCGCTCTCACTTTGAATGCAGAACCTGCTTTTAGCATCGACCATTCCCATTTGTAATTTCCCTCATCTGTTCTGCAGCTCTTTGGGACTGTTTAAGCCTGCCAAGAGAAGCATGGTCCCACTGATACACTGGTTTTCCTCTGAAGCCTTTTGTGTCTCACTGTCTGGGAAATCTTGAAATGAATGGGTTTTCACTGCACGCTGCTGTTTTTCAAAGTTTCAGGGAAATTATTCTCAGTCCAAATTTTTTTTTTCTTATTCCACAAATACAGTGTTTATTACATATGTATCCCACATGCAAAACATTAGTTTTCTAAACAGTAAAATTCTTGGAATAATCCAAAAATCTTTCTTTCCTTCAAATAACACATGGAAGGACAAAGAAGTTAAAAGGGGTTTGATCTTTATTTGATAACAGTGTCCTTAGTGCTAAATCACACTGAGAAAGCAAGTAACATGTGATGGGTTCAAAGGGAGGAAAAATCAAACAACATCACCTAAAATGAAGGTAACAATATCTGGAGGATTTTTTCAAGAGCTATGGACACAGTTCATGGTTCTCCTTCTTTGGTTGTTCCAGACATTTTCATTAGGAAGAAGATGCATGTCATCTAGCTTTGGTGCATGCTGTATCAACTGGCATTGAACAGTAGTGTATCCTGCACAATTTCTTAAATCCCATCATTAGTCCACAGAATTGGAACTCTTCATTACCTCTGTCCTTTTGGGAAGTGTGATTAAAGTCAAGTTTCTTTGGGTGTTTCTTACACAGGATTTTTGTTTCCTGGTGATGTGCAGTTTAGTTTCTAAAATATATTTTAATTTGAAAATCTGAAGGTCCTCTCACAAATATTTGATACATTTCTTTTTTTATCACATCTTTTCTGGGCCTATTGCTTGATGTCTCTGAAAAAAAAACAAACAATAAAAAATTGCATTTCATAACATTTCTTTGAGAAAGTTCTTTCCAAGGGTATATTGACAAGAAGAGTGAGTTTCTTGCATTGCATGCAAGATGGGGTTTTGGGTTTTTTGTTTTTTTTTTCCTTTAAAGGCATATGGGACTCTATTTTCACAGAGATAACAGCGGCCACAGGGGGCAGATTTTTCATAAGCATTCTGCATGCAGAAAACCCCTGATTTATATAGACAGATTTAATAAATCCATTCAACTTGTGTGTTATGAACATTCCTAATATCTCAACCTGGAATGACTGAATTAAAGTGTATGTCTAGACTGCAGGAAAGCTACCTTCCGTCCTTGTCTATTAATCACTGGAGGTGAGGACCAGAGTGGTGTGACTCTCTTTTGGCCTAGATTTTCTTCCTGTGGCTTTGAAATATGCATCTGAATCCAAGTGCAGTGTGTTTGAGTGTTATCATAGAGCACAGCTCTCCTGAATTCATGGAATTGTCATGGACAGTCTTACCCCATGTCTGATGAATGAAGAGCCACTTGAATACACTTTCTCTTGGTAGAAAGTGCTATCACAAACTAAATAACCCTGCTTCCCTCTACTGGAAACTGTCCTAGTACTTCAGGGCAAAGTACTTGCAGGTTGATGTGTTCTTGGTTTTTCTTCTCTCTGTTGACAGCTCCTAGACTGTTTTGTCATCCCAGTGGTGATACTCCTCTCCTGGTTCTTCTTACTGGTACGATACAAGGCAGTTCATTTCATTGGGATTGTGGTCTGCATTCTGGGCATGGGCTGCATGGCAGGAGCAGATGTCCTCGTTGGGAGACAGCAAGGAGCAGGTAAGTAAGAACAAATGGGTTGTGTGGCCAAGTTCTGTTCAGAGAAGCCATTGACCAGGGTGTGTCAGACCAGGGCCAAAAAATACAGAAATCTGGCAAGAAACTCTGTACCTTCATGGATCCAAAGCACTGCACTATTCAGAGTTGTCTCTTTGTCAAAAGGGCAGAAAGGGGTCACCACTTACAAGTCAGCAGTGCTGCAAACAGGCTTTTTGGGCCCTTGTGTCTCTGCAAGCTGGGGGGACAACCTAAATATTTGTAGTTTTGTTCTCTTTTGGCTTAGCTGTTGGACTGCAAACCTCAATATCTTCCTTTCCAAATTGGATACATTTCTGAGCCATAAGCTCCTCTCACATCCACTGTGTGCTCTTGCTCTCCTCAGCTTGGCTTGTTTTTCTACAGAGGTGGGGTCACTTGGTAGGTGCTAAAACACACTGAACCTGTATACTACCAGTTGGGTTTTGCACACAGTCTCGTCCTAAAGCTTTGGGACTTGACTGTAACGTTTTTGAAAAGAACCTCCTTGTGTGTAAAATGTTTTTTTATGTGTGGCATCATATGAATAATGTGTGTATCTATTAATGCAGACTAGACAGAGTTAGATTTCATCGATCAACTTCCCCTGTCACATTGATTTCTCTAGTGCCAAGCCAAATGATGTGGGAAGGCTGGAAATTCTTTTCAAAGATTGTCAATTAGGCACAGTTTTCATTCTTAATTAAAAGCACTGAATTGTGAGCAGAGCATAATACACTGGGATTTAAAATTCTTGACTCAGCTTTCTGAATACAAATGCAAGTGCAGTAAAAACTGCATTTGCCAGAATGCTACCAAATAAAACAATGGAGTTTGTGACAGTGCTCACCGTATCTCCCTACCCCTTTTATCTCTGTCCTTAATCCTGAAAGGAGACTTTTAGTTACTGATCTCCTCCAGAAGTAGCCTTGCCCCAGCTAAAAATGAAATAATATACTCTGTACTATGTAACCAGCCAGCCAAGGCTGTGTTGGGAATGTCTGATTTCAGAGGGATTGAGATTGCAAACCAGGGTTCCAGAAGAAACATTCTGTGTCCCGGCAGTCTAGAGAGTAACATGCTTGAGCGGGTGAGCTGTGGATCAGCAGGAGCATGTGGAGCAGTGGAAGCAGACAAGGAACAGATTGAAGGGCACTGACACTTTGCCATCCAACTGCAGTAATTAGATGCTGTTTGCCATGTTCATTATTAAAGCATGGGTATAGCTGTTAAGTAAATTTGTCCAGACAAATCTGTTAACATGCATTATTGCCTTTTAAATTCTATGTACACATGAAAAACTGTGTCCATGCTTATTGCTATGCAGAGAGACTGCAGCTTTTCTACTTTTTTCAGTGGCATAATAATGTTATTAATGATGCTGTCTTTAACAGAGTAAAATAGATCATCTAGTTTAATTTCTTTAAAAGGCTAAAACTACACATTAGAATGTACAAATAAAAAGAATTAATGGCAGGAAAAAAAGAACAAAATTATTTAAACTCTTCGTTAAGAAGTTGTACACCATTTATAGGAGGTTTCCTAGGACTGGACAAACTGAAGTAAGGAAGACACCAAAAGCAATGATGCTTCATTAGTCCTCAGTAAATGTCTCTGTTTATCTTATATTTTAGGGGACAAGAACTGTTGATACCTGTGTGCCCCTGTTGACCACACTGCTTACTGTATTAGAAGAGCCATAAGGCTCTGCTAGGTACCCACATCATAAGGCAATTTAGCCTGCCAACTCTTACAGTAGGGGAACATGAATTTAAAGTGTATCACTGAGAGATTAAAAGGTATTTTCCAAACTGTCTGCAGGAATTAGGTATAATGTGCCCACATGCTTTCAATTTTCAATTGTATCCTCACTGATATTTTGCACATTACTCAATGGGAAAACATTTACTATTAAGTATTTAGAGCTCTATCATCTTACATGCCAAGTATACCTGAAAAAAACATTATTCTGAACTAACACTCATGAGTTACTTTCACACTTCTGCTCCTGCCATACACAGGTGTCTAAGCCACACAGGTCTAAGTGTTTCATCCAGGTCTTTCGAAGAACTTCCTTGCTTTAACTTCCAACAGTCTCTGAAAACCAGTCACATCAATCCTGCTAATACATATATCAGTGTTCAATTTAAAACGGGACACATTGAGAGTGATTTTTAGGTATCATGTTCATCAGTAACTACAACCAAAAGCAAAGAGAAACACCTCTTAATGGCAGGAGCTAGGGCAAAAATGTGACAAAGAGGCCAATTGGGAGTGTGAAAAGAGATTGTGTCAGAACACAATTCACATTTAAAAGATTTGTGTTTCAATATAATGCTATAACTATTTCCCAAAACTCTGCTCTGGACCGTACAACTTCTCCACAGAATATTAAATATGGTAACAATCATTAATGTAAAGCCTGTTTTGCCAGGCTATGCCTTGTGTGTCTTCTGAAGAATGACCTACACCATTAAATTGGTGAAATACAACTTTATTGTCGTAAAAGTTTTTAGAATGCCTCTAATTAGTTGACACATGTTTCCTTAGCAATGCAACCAGTAGATGCATGTGGATATTGCATCCATGAAAAGAAGTCTATAGGGATATGTCAGTCTTGGGAGAAAGTCCCAAAGTCTCAGCCTCTCGAGGAGGCAAAGATAAGGCATTTGACAACCAGAATAATAATTGCTAAGAAAGAAAGCAAAAACATATTTTACAACATTTTTAAACCAGTATATAAAGTTTTGGTGCACTAACTCCTTGTGTACCTGTTATGGTTTGACCATAGTAGAAAAGAGAAGCTCCTCTCTCCTGATAGACTAAGGAGTGCTTGTGTAAAAAGAGAGTATTAGATTGAGTATTAATATGTTAGAGGAGATTTGAATATTAGAAGACTGGAATAGGGCAAAAATGTGACAAAGAGGCCAATTGGGAGTGTGAAAAGAGATTGTGTCAGAACACAATTCACATTTAAAAGATTTGTGTTTCAATATAATGCTATAACTATTTCCCAAAACTCTGCTCTGGACCGTACAACTTCTCCACAGAATATTAAATATGGTAACAATCATTAATGTAAAGCCTGTTTTGCCAGGCTATGCCTTGTGTGTCTTCTGAAGAATGACCTACACCATTAAATTGGTGAAATACAACTTTATTGTCGTAAAAGTTTTTAGAATGCCTCTAATTAGTTGACACATGTTTCCTTAGCAATGCAACCAGTAGATGCATGTGGATATTGCATCCATGAAAAGAAGTCTATAGGGATATGTCAGTCTTGGGAGAAAGTCCCAAAGTCTCAGCCTCTCGAGGAGGCAAAGATAAGGCATTTGACAACCAGAATAATAATTGCTAAGAAAGAAAGCAAAAACATATTTTACAACATTTTTACACCAGTATATAAAGTTTTGGTGCACTAACTCCTTGTGTACCATGTATTACTCTAGTCACTGCATCTCAAAAAGAAGTCATCAGAAAATAAACCTGTATAAGCTATGGAGAAAGGTGAGAAAGCTGTTCAAGGGCATAAAATGGATTCAGATGAAGAGACTGTAGCCAGACTGGGACATTCCTTCTCTCAGAAAAGGCAAGAAAGAGACCTGTAAAGGTATATGAAGTCTTCAATTATATGGAAAGGGTCAATACAGAGTGATTTTTAAATAATTCTCAGAAAATAATGGGATGACTAATATGATTTTGAGGTATTCAGAGTAAAAAATTAAAAGCATAATGTACTTAATAGTAGGCTAAAAATATACGAATTTTACACAAATTGATGAAGAATCCCTCAAGTTTATTAAATGTGATAGTCTAATGCAACTTCTATCTCAGAAAATGCCTGATCTACTGAGAACTGGCTGATAGAAGTCCCTCTGTACTTCCTTATTTGTTTGTGCTCTCCTCAGCCACCCTGTGCTGCTGAGTACCAGAGGAGGTTCCAGTGTCAGAGTCTGGTGCTCTGAAAAGAGAAACACCTCTTAATGGCAGGAGCTAGGGCAAAAATGTGACAAAGAGGCCAATTGGGAGTGTGAAAAGAGATTGTGTCAGAACACAATTCACATTTAAAAGATTTGTGTTTCAATATAATGCTATAACTATTTCCCAAAACTCTGCTCTGGACCGTACAACTTCTCCACAGAATATTAAATATGGTAACAATCATTAATGTAAAGCCTGTTTTGCCAGGCTATGCCTTGTGTGTCTTCTGAAGAATGACCTACACCATTAAATTGGTGAAATACAACTTTATTGTCGTAAAAGTTTTTAGAATGCCTCTAATTAGTTGACACATGTTTCCTTAGCAATGCAACCAGTAGATGCATGTGGATATTGCATCCATGAAAAGAAGTCTATAGGGATATGTCAGTCTTGGGAGAAAGTCCCAAAGTCTCAGCCTCTCGAGGAGGCAAAGATAAGGCATTTGACAACCAGAATAATAATTGCTAAGAAAGAAAGCAAAAACATATTTTACAACATTTTTACACCAGTATATAAAGTTTTGGTGCACTAACTCCTTGTGTACCATGTATTACTCTAGTCACTGCATCTCAAAAAGAAGTCATCAGAAAATAAACCTGTATAAGCTATGGAGAAAGGTGAGAAAGCTGTTCAAGGGCATAAAATGGATTCAGATGAAGAGACTGTAGCCAGACTGGGACATTCCTTCTCTCAGAAAAGGCAAGAAAGAGACCTGTAAAGGTATATGAAGTCTTCAATTATATGGAAAGGGTCAATACAGAGTGATTTTTAAATAATTCTCAGAAAATAATGGGATGACTAATATGATTTTGAGGTATTCAGAGTAAAAAATTAAAAGCATAATATACTTAATAGTAGGCTAAAAATATACGAATTTTACACAAATTGATGAATTTATTGAAGGTTTATTATTACACAAATTGAAGGTTTATTAAATGTGATAGTCTAATGCAACTTCTATCTCAGAAAATGCCTGATCTACTGAGAACTGGCTGATAGAAGTCCCTCTGTACTTCCTTATTTGTTTGTGCTCTCCTCAGCCACCCTGTGCTGCTGAGTACCAGAGGAGGTTCCAGTGTCAGAGTCTGGTGCTCTGAACAGATCTCAGCTCCCTCTTCTGGGAAGGCCCTGAAGGCTGAGGCTCACACTCAGCACGAGAGCACTTTGGGAAGAGTGTGATGCTTGAGGCCATCCCATCTGTGTGAAAATGCTCAGCCTCTGAGCTGCTTTTGTTTCACAGATTCAAAAGGATGATATTTTTGTCCTAGCAGGAGCTCTAAGGTCAAAAGCTTTTGCAGCAATACTTCCCTAAAGTGTCAGTGAGTAGCTGCAATAAATACCAAAAAAGTGATCTCAGTGAAGAATCAATGGAGCCACTGTGAAATATGAAATGCATCAGGGGTATGAAGAAGTTTTGTAAAGTTGTGATGGTTATTTTAAATGAAGAACATCTTCCATTACTGATTGCAAAAGAAGACTAAAATAAGAAAAAAACCCCCGACAACAGAACAACCAAATCCTAAAAAGATAAATGGTCAAATATAAACATTTTGCCCGTCAAGGAACATTCAAAATTGAAATTCAGTGAAAGGCGGGATGAGTATGTGAAGAACAAATCTAGTAGTATTTTCTAAATACACAGAAGCCACATCTCCTCTGAGCTGAAACATGTTGGAAACTAGGAGAGTATTACTGGGAATACTTTACACTTTACTCCATTCCTATTGTCCTTAAACATCTTATACTTTTCTGGTGCTTATAGCCAGTGCTGGGGACAGGATTAATGAACCCTTGGTCTGTCCTCTTATGACCATTTTTATTATCATAAATTTCTTCTCCATAGAAATTTCAGCACTGCAGTTTGGAATGATAACTGAAGGCTTAAAAGAACTCCTTAAAGAAAAATGTTGAAAAGATAATTTTGAACCAATTAGAATGTTTGGTTTCCATTTTTATTTACTGCAGTGTATATTTTACAAATCAATTGAAATAAAACTTTAAAAGACAGGGACATAAAAAGTAAATCATGGTTTTTTTAAAGAAAATAGGATTTCTTTTTTAAAAATACTGTGTCATACTTCAGCATTTCTGCTGAAACTTTTCAAAGAAAAATCCACTATAATCCAGCATTTCTGAATATGGTTCTGCAGAAATATCTGACAGCTTTGTGAAGCTGTAGCTCTTGTAGAAATAATTTAACAAGCCATATGTGCAGAGGAAATTGCAGGCACCAGTTTGCAAAGCTAGGGCCTCAGTTTTCAAGCTGGAACTTGATCTTGATCAAATGTCACTGCAGCTCTCCCCAACATCCAATAATAAAAATCTTCCAAGACTTAAAAAGATTTCAAGCAGTCTTTGATAACAAAATGTTTTAGTAATTCTGTATACCTGGAGGTACTGAAAATACATCTTCTTGTTCCTTGCATGCATTAGGTACTGCTATGTTAATTGAACCTCTTTTAAAAATCTGTCCTTATCATCACCCTGTCTACACCACATCATTCCTCCTCCCTTTCTTGTCAAACAGCTCCATGTGAGAATGAGGTCAATATTAGGCTGTAATGATTTCTTCACTCATTTCACAGGTACACGGAATTTTTCAGTTGTCCTCAGATCTATGTACTGAACTTGTTTTAGACTGGTGAAATTTCAAGATGAGATGCAAACTGCTCTATAAAGTTGAGTCATGTTCTCTCTGCAAAGAAAAGAAAAGGTAGTAATAATAAAGTTAAAAGGATCAGTCTCTGAAGAGCTCCACTTGGATTATACAATTTTTTTTTTACAAGTTTTTCAGATTTTTTGGCTTCTTCTTTCTACAGCAAGGAATATGCTCTCCCTCTGTCTGACTGAGACTGGTGTATTGAATGAAAACTGTTTGAATGACAGAATATTTGCATTCATTTTATTAACCCAGATAAGGGCTGTGTAGTGACTGTAGGGAAGAACATGCAATGGTTTTGGACAGAAGATGGTTGTTTTGAGGCATTCTGATTATTTTTTTTCTCTTTATCCCTAGGTGAAAATAAACTGATAGGGGACCTCTTAGTACTTGGCGGAGCAACTCTGTACGGCATCTCCAACGTCTGTGAGGAGTACATCGTCCGAAATCTGAGCCGAGTGGAATTCCTGGGCATGATCGGACTCTTTGGCTCTTTCTTCAGTGGAATTCAGCTGTAAGTGGACAGGTTTGAGCTCACTAAAGCTCAAATAAGTGCAGCTGTGGCATCCATTGAGATACACTAACCACTCCTTCAAAATTAGCCCTTTCCGGTGGAGAGCAGGAAATTCCTCTAATCTTGGAATTTGCATTGGTTTTCATATTTCAAATTGGTGATTTGAATAATAACACAAAATTTTACCCAAGTACTCTAATTCAAGGACCATTGTCCTTGAGTAGTCACATAAAGAGGGAGAAGACATGTCACACTATCTTGCTGCTGAAGGACAAGTGGATGCTTCATGTATTATTCTGAATTGTGAATAACAAAATCTACAGCTTCTTTTGGTTCTGTTATATACTTTTAAAAAGTCTCTTTGATTTCTAAAGAGGTGGAAAACACATCCAGTCAGAAGGTGTTTTACTGGTTTGCTTGTTCTGTGTAACTACATTATGATATGGTAGAAATCTTGAAAAAGCTTTTAATAAAATGGCCTTTTCACTTCAAAATATTTAGCACATAGGAGATTGTTGCATGGATTTCGGCATCTACGGAGTCTGGTCTATATCCACATGTACCTAATGAGCATCTCAACTGCAAGCTTAATAGTTGGAAGGTGGCTTCCAGTGTTGCAGTACTGTGGCTGATGTAAAAGTAGCCCTGCAAGATTGCTGCATTTTGTGCAGGTCTGTCACTGGTGCTTGTAGCACAGAATGACTTGATTATTGGTCCAAAACAAGTTGCTTTTCTACAGATCTAAGCTACTCTGCTCCTAAGAACAGAGACTGATCAAAAAACCACAGCTCATCAATTCCTATTTCAATAGTTTTATTTTTTTTTAGCTAGAGAGCTTAATATATTTATTTGGGATCTGAACAAGTGTCTTAAAATTATTTATATTAACTAGCTGCCATACAAGAAGTTCCCTTTAAAAAAAATGGAATTTAAGAGCATATAAATGTGCCTAGTATCTTTGGCTAAAGCATTCTTTTATATGATTGTGATTAAGTAGATACTAACATTCTGAGGACATCAAAGCAGTGCCCTTGTCTTGCTCTGTGTGTGTGAACTGTCATGTAAATGTTTCATATTCCAGAATTCAGTTGTTGTGCCATTCCTCCCTCTTGACCGAAGCAGTTAAGTCACAATTCAGGATCTGTGAGCTGTTCTGCTGGTGAGAATCTTGTTTTGGAGCAAGGCATCTTTGTATAAAGAAGCCACAACTGGAAGGAAATAATAAGAAACCATTTCTTTGCTGAAAGCCCTAAGGTTTTTCTATTCAACTTTTGACCCATAAATTCACTCCAACAGGTTTTTCTCCACCAGCCTCTGCAGCTTTTTGCTGATGGTGCTTTTTGGGCACATTCTAGAGACACAACCACACTTAGTTCATACCTGTGCCTTTTTTCGTACCTTTACCTGTAATGAATAGCAGAAGTCACAGTTATGTGTTCACAGAGACTTAATCTAACTAATTATAACATTTACATCAAAGATAAACCAATTCCTCATGTTAAATTTGCAGGCTCTTTCTTTGAAATACTACTGGCCACTTTGGTGCAATATAGGACCTTCAGATCCTCTGAACTGAAGGAGTCTTAGACTGTAACATAAAATAAATACACATAATGCCTGTTGTACAGCAAAGGAGGAAGAGCTAAGGTGTCAGGGGAAACAGTGAATTAATGAGTTGGCTAATTACCCAGACATGGTGGAAAAAGAAGTTTAGTATGTTGGGTATGATTAAAGAAGGGAGAAGAATAAGAGATTAGTTTCCGAGAGCTGGGGATGTCACAATTACCCAGGAAATGGAGATAAGGTTATCTGATGGAATCACATAATCATAACATGGCCTATTTTCTAATGGCCCCTGAAGGTCATCTGGTTCAAGCTCCTACTCAAAGCTAGCTTCAAAGTTACATCAGGTTGCTTAGGAACTTGTTCACTTGATTTCTTGGTATCTCCAAGAATGGAACTGCCAGTCATGCTGGGCAACCTCTTCCAGTGTATGACATTTTTTTTCCCCGTGATATTTAATCAGTTTTCCACATTGCAACTTGTGTCAATTGTCATTCATCCTTTTGTTGTGCACCTCCAAGAAAAGTATGACTATCTTGTCTGTAGCTACCCATTGCATAGTTAAGATGGAAAATTTATTGTTGTGTCCTCCTTTCCCCCAGCTTAGCCTTCTCTTCTTCATGCTAAGCAAACTCTGCTGTTTCAGCATCTCCTCTTACATCCTGGCCTCAACCTGCCTGACCATTGTGATGGAATTCCACTGTATTCCCTTCAATTTGTTATTGTCTGTCTTGTTCTGGACAGCACATAATTGGATACAGGACTCTACTGTTGTCTCAAAAATCACATCCTTCAGCTTTCTGGCTAGACAACAACTCAGGATGTTGTTGCCTTCCTCTGCTCCAGGGACACATAGGGTTCAGGCTGATGTCCACCAGGACTCTAAGGTTTATTTCTGGAAAACAACTTTCTATCCAGTCAGCTCCCAGCCTGTACTGTTTCATAGTGTCACTCCACCCCAGGTGCAGGAGTTAATACTTGCTTTTCTTGAACTTCATGAGGTTTCTTCTCGCTCTTTTCTTTAGACAGCATTGTACATAGTCCACCTATCTAGTCCATACCTCTTGAGTCTCTGAAGATCTTTAAGGAAATCATGTTGGAAACCTTGCTAAACTAACAGTAGGTTACACCACATCCACTCATCCATTCCATTTCCCTTATTTACTGATCCAGTCACCTCATTATGGAAGGCAATAGTTATATCAGGTTTGCTCTTGAGAGCATTGTGCTGGCTTTTCCCACTGGAACCATCTTCTTAATTTCCTGCAAATGGCTTCTGGGTAGATTTGTTCCATAGTCTTCCCGAAGGTTAGCATAAGGCTGGCAGGCTATACCTTTTATTCTGTATTAAACTGAATGGTGCATTTGTCTCTTTTCAGTTATCAGGAACCTCCTTCAACTACCCCAACCTTTCAAAATCATTGTGGTTCCAATTCTTCAGTGCCTCTGGCATCACTAAATGGCCACTTCTGGCAAAATTTATCTCACCCCTCTTTTTTCACAGATCATAAGGAATCACAAGCCATAGCATATTGTTTTACACATCTTTTGTATTGGCTAAGTAGTAATATGAATGCAATGTTCCTACGTTTAAGTTATGTGAAAAACTTTTTCCAGACCAAGAGACATTGCAGTTTGTTTTCATTATATTCTTCAGGAATGATAAAAGAGACATATACCTTATGAATGCAAAGACACCTATAATTTAGTTATTTTGCAGAGAATATAGTCTTATTATTCTGTACACAGTATTAGATTTGCCTCACATCAGCAGCAAGCAAATTAAAATTTCCAGCATATAACTCTTTAGACTAGATTAATCTGGAAGGTTTTGAGCTCCTGTAGTTTTACTATTAGATTTGGTCTTCCACATGCCGCCTTTCCTACTGGGTACTTTGTTTTTCAATCTGTATAATTCCATGTTTTATACTTGTTTAAAATAGTGTCCAGACCAGCATGCCGAGTTTTGCACAGCTAGATTTATCTGGAAATCATACAGACAGAGAAAGCAGTTAGCTGAGTGAAGACCTAGCTTGGGAGATATCTTATCTCCAAGGGTCTGTTTGCCTGGATTGGGAAGAGCTGACTTGTTGCCACCTGAGAATTTTATGGATCTCTGACTTTGATGTTAATGTACTGTGCAAGATTTACAAGATACTGAGAGTGGACTTTTGCAGGTTTGCCCATTCTTTGCTTATTATCCTGACTTTCACTGATGTGACTATTTGGTTTCTCTCAGTGTATAAGAAATCACAGCATGATTTCCAAACCAGCCTGTGATATCTATTTATTTTACCCTGCAGAGCTACTCTGAAGTGTGAATAACTCAGATAGATATATTATTAATAATTAGGGTTCAAAAGCTTTCAGAATATTAAGTCAGAAAAGTACAAGAGGATTGAAAATTTAGGGGAATGGGCATGTAGAGCAGGTATATCGAGAGCTGGAAATAAACCAGGAGAAATTGTATGCTATCACATCTGATTACTGCCCTGAAGATCTTTCAAATACACAGGCACAGGGATAATGCCAGAGTAGATTAGCAAACTCCTGATTGCATTTGTTTTCTACAGAGATTTTTTGTTATAAGGTTATTTATGTTGTTTTGTCCAGCATTTTAATTCAATGAGAGGAAGTAATTTAACTTTTGTTCTCTTCCATCAAATTTTGCCTTCTCTTCTCTTCTAGTGCAATCATGGAACACAAAGAGCTGTTGAAAGTCCCCTGGGATTGGCAAATAGGTAAGAACACACTTTACCTCATGGGAGATGGTTGCTGAAGGAGGCGTGGAGACAGCCAGCATTTGGGGAGGTGGCCACAGAGTTCAGGGGAGCCGATGTTTGTGACTTTTCCACTGGTTACTACCAAAGGTCGAGCCTCATAACTGTTCTTAAATGATCTGCCCTCCATTGCTGTGTTATGCCTTCCTTGCACAATTAGGTTAAGCATATGAATGCTGTAAGATAACCATTCAGACAGCCATGAAGTAAAACAATAATGTGGTTCCAGTTCTAAGATTCAATGCAACACTGGGGCAATAAATGAGGCAGTCGTTAAGAGCCAAACCTTTTCAATGAAAGCCAAGGAAAGAAAATGGAACCCAACAAAAATAACCTAAAAAAGTACTCGCAGTGCATATTATAGCCTCATAAATTCACTTCCAGGAGGAGCATTTCTGTATGGAAGTGTTTTAATTGCTTTCCAAATAGTCTTAGTGGAATAAAGCAGATGTGTCCTTTAGACAAGTTTTGGGAGCATCGTGCCCAATGAAGCAGTTATGGTGTTCTGCCAAGCAGGGAATTGCATTTTCCCTTTTCAGTTTGGAAGCTGAGTTTATGACTTCCTTCTAATGAGTCCAAAGGATTATTTGGTTTAAAAGCAAATCGATATTTAGGGGAGTCCCTATAATCACTCCTTCACTATTTATGACAATAAAAGAAATAAAAGACTACTAGTCGCATTGAGCTGATTCATTGCAGAGGGCTCAAGCTTTGGCAACCCATTGACAATAGCTCTTTACCTAGTTTCAGACTGAACATCAAAATGACAACTCAGAAGTGTGCAAAAACGACTGATTATGTGGGGAATCCCTTAGGGGAGGGGATGCAAACTGTGGAATATAGTTGGTTTCTTTAAACTTGGTTTGCAATTTCCTTTCATCATCTTAAACCTTGATAAATACAGCACATTTTTCACAAAACATTGCACCTAGAAATCTTGGAAATTTGATTGTTGAGCTGTAAAACTAAGTGACAAATCAGTTTAAAGTATCCATGGAGGAACACACTCAACTGTGTACTATAAGTGTATTGGCCTTCTTTAATCTGAGATAGTTAGCATAATTGCATCAGTGTTTATTTATATTTCATGAGAAGGAGCTTAGGGACATAATTAATCTGGTACTGATGGTACCAGTGGTCATAGTGAATTAATCTACTGTCCATGTAAATGTCATATATACTTCCATGAGATTTCTGTTCAGACTCAGTATCAGAGAAATGTGCTATTAAAATAAGGTCTTACTTCATCTGTGATGCTGCCAGAATGTCCCTGAAAGTTGATTACTAATTCTGAAGAGTCCTTATGCTTCACAAGGCTGAGATCATCTTAGCAAAAGCATCATAGATATGCACTTGTTTTGTTAGAGCAATAATTGGAAATGTGGTGTAGTTGAACATGGATTAAATGGTGACAGTTCTGTAGTTCTTCCCTGGCTTCCGCTGCACCTGGTGTACTTTGCATTGCATTGGCAGTGATACAAGATTGTCAAAAAGTGATTGACAAATCTGTATCAGGGAGTTCACAGCCTTGTCCTGAGTAGTTATCCGCTGTGACAGACTGAAAGCTGCAGTCCAGCAGAGTTAAATCATCAGCCTCCCGAATGGTGGTGATAAAGTCACAGCAGGCAGCCTAATAAATAAATCAAGGTGGCCTGTTGCCATCTGCCATAATTGTGCTTTTTAGATCAAATGAGCTATCTTTTAACTGATGCAAATGATTTTTGAATATAAAGATCTAAAGCCAATCTGTTGTGTCTATCATGTTTAAAACAGGCTGTGTCCCTCCTGGTGTTAATTTTGGAAATTGCCCTGATACATATCATCATCTTCACACTTACTGTGAATTACTGTAGCTCTGTTTGTATCCTTGAAGGCTTAAGTATTAATACTTGCTGACAACCAGACTGAAAGGAGGATGATTTTACAGTTTTGAGAGAGTGGTTTCATATGAGACCATGACAAGTTTTCTAGTGATAGATGAAATACTAACAAATAAACTCACATCAGTTTTATTTAAGAGAAAAGCCAGTTTGTAGCTCCAAGAAAGTGTCCTTTTTTACCTGGGGTTTCAGTATTTCTGAATGGTCTTTGTTCCAAGAGAGTATGAAAGATCATAACTGATTCCATTTCATGCCAATGAAACATTTGCTTTTGGAGTAAAAGCACAAAGGCAACATTAATGCAATGTTCAACCACCTTGCTCAGGAACAAGACCAGAAGTTCTCAAGTCATGTTGGTCTCTGTCCTACTTGGGCTGTATTAGAGTGGTCCCTAGGGACAGATCCTGCCTATTTGTCTGAGGACACCAAGTGTAAAGAGAAATGGAGAAATGCTGAGGGACTGGGGCTCGTTCAGCCTGTGGAAAAGAAGTTACCTACAAGGAGGTTATCAAAAGGACAGAGCCGGTGCATGGCTCTGTCAGAGGTGCATGGCAGGAGGATGAGAGACAGCAGACAGAAGCTCAAATGACAGATTCAGACTGGATATAAGGAAAATCATCTTCACATTGAGGGCAGGCACACAGCAGAGCAGGTTTCCCAGAGAGGTTCTGGAGTCTGCTGCGCCTGCAGCACTAGAAGCAATTCCTAAGGCTGCTATTTGCACTGCATGGGTACCTGAGGAGGCTGAGGCTTCAAGCTGTTGGCTTAAAACATATTTTCAGTCTCAAAATTGGTCCTCTAAGAAGCATATGTACCTGAAAATCATATGATGTTAATTTCACTTGTTTATTGTCACCACTAAATGTCACCCAGCTAGTGGATATTACATATATTTTGAAGCTGTAAATGAAATGCCATTTTATATTCACCTTTGCTAGGACAGTTACAGTTTAAGCAATTTTCCACTGGAACTGAAATGCCCTTTGGAAAAGCAACCTGTGAAACTGGCTGTCAAATAATATGAACACCAAGGCAGTACCATAAAATTATACTGTAAGTTAAGTGCATAAACCAGCAAAGCTGTGTTAAATCCAGACAACCAGAGACTTGGTGGACCAGCTGATGATTTGCAGACTGTACTTTGACAATGCCGACTACAGAAGAGTCACAGAGTTTAAATAAAGCAACTTTCAAGCACTGCCTAAAACTTAATTCTGTTACCAGTACACAATGTACACCTTATAAATTTGCTACCTAGGGGTAAAAGCAGTTTTTACCATGATTGTCCATATTCTGATTATAAATTCAAATTCATTATCATGCCATAACATGTATGGCCACTGATAGTTTGTGTCTGCTGCATTTGTTTCAGTTGAATGTACACTTCAGTTCATGTGCTTCCAAAGGACTTGATCTGTCACAGCTGATTTTGTCCTTTAGATAGCTTTTCTAAAGAATTTTTAACTAAATGGATCCACATGCAGATATATGGCCATTATATGCCTTTTTTTTTTCATCCTTTCTAACTCCTTTCAGGACTTTGGCAATCAGATTTTCTACAACTTTTAGTCAATAACGTGTTCTGAAGAGCTGGCATGAGTCTAAATTTAGGCTTATCCATATATCAGCTGGGAATTCTCAGCATACAGAGCCTAAGAAATATCATTTGCATGAGAGCAGATGAGTAAAGTGTTTGCTGGTTTTTTTAACTTCATATTGATTAATTTGCCTAGGGATTTATCAAGTAATAACTGAAGCAATGAATTCTTTCCCAGTAAGTTATTTAGGTTTTTAAATTAATTTAGATTTTTACTGTAATGTATTTTTATTATATTAGTGTCTAACAATCTAATTTGTGTGAGACACTCTGTAAACATGTATCAGGAAAGAGTTTCAGCTCACAAAAGTTTTATTGAGGAAGGCAGAAAAAAAGGAGTAGAGGAACGGAGGTGCAAAACTGTGAAGTGAGTTGTCAGTTTTGGTGGCAAAATGGGACTAGGACCTCTGACACTTGAGTGCTGTCTTCATGCATTCATCCATTTGCTCATTAACTCCTCTGCAAATAATATTGCATTAATATTTTGGGCCCATTCCCAGAAAATACTGTGTGCTCCGTCCAACTCAGCTGAACTCACTTGGTGCTGGGGATATTCAGCTCCTGCAGAGACTGGATTTGATACGTTCAAATGCATCGTTATGTCTAAATCTATGTTGGACATGAGCTGGTCACTGGTAGTATAAGACACCAATTTGAAACACCTCTGCTATTATGAAGATCCCAAAGGACCTCATGTCCAGTGTTGACATGGTTTTCACTCTCTACATTATTAATTTGAATTTTTCTTTGAAAAAGGATTATTCTTTCTTTTCCTAAAAGCACAACCTTCTTCCTCCCAACGAAGTCATTTCTGCAGGCTGTGAGGTCACTTTCCTTCTTGTTTCTCCCCTTCAGGCTTGCTGTACGTTGGCTTTAGTGCCTGTATGTTTGGCCTCTACAGCTTCATGCCAGTGGTCATAAAGAAAACCAGTGCTACTGCCGTCAACCTCTCCCTGCTCACGGCTGACCTGTACAGCCTCTTCTGTGGATTATTCCTCTTCCACTACAAGGTACGTGGAAATGAGAGATGTGTTTGGGTGATAGCAGTGTGCCTCAAGAAGCATCAGTTAAGGACAAGGAAACAAAAGAAGCCTTCAAGCGTTGCTAGATCTAAACAGTTAAAGTGCAAGTTGATTTTTTTTGCTTCAGGCTTCCTGCACTAAAACCAATTTTATTTTATGATTTCTGGTTTTCTGAGAGATCTCATTTGGTCTTTTTGTTACAAGTTTTAAGATTTGAGTACCTGTTCATCAGCCACTGTATCATTAATTTCATGTTACTTATCAAAGGTTACTTTCAACTGCTGTGAGCAGACCTAAGGTGGCAGCATGAAGGGAAGGACTCTTCCAAAACTCCCACAGACTTTTTTTGCCTGGGAGCAAGGTTGTTTCATTCATACTCATTGTGAATTCATAACTAAATTGTTCATAAATTACACCTTTCTCTTGGCCATACCAGTGGCTTGCCTCTTATTGTAAATGCCAAAATGTGCAGCATACTTGTGTTGAAGTTAAACTTTGACCTCCCAGGTCCCCTAATATTTAAAACACCATGTGGTACAGGACCACATTTGACCTCCAGTTACAAGGAATGGCACTTCATTATTCACAAGTATCCCCTGCCAGTGTCCATCCTGTGAAAATAACATTGCAGTGCTGGAAGCAATTGATTTCTACCATCATTTATTCACAGGAGGGAGGTTACTTGATGGCTAAATTGTGTTAGAAGTGTTAGGCAAAAGAAAACCTTAAAATTCTGAGTGTCTAATCAACTCAAATCAGATTTTGTTATGGTAATAGTACCTGAATGAATCTGAATGTGACAGTGAAAGTTCAAATCTTCAGGGTTCAACACAAAGTTGTTTGTCTTTTATTTTGGCTTTGTGGCTTTGAGAATTTTGCAGGCACAAGAAAAGCAAGAATAGAAACAAAAATTTGACTGAAAACACAATGTAGGGATTGCCTGCTGCTTTGCAGCTCTATATCATGGTGATATCATTTCTCCTTCTTTCTGCCTCATGCTTCAAACCCAAAGTGTTTGACATTAGGTGTTATCTGAAAACTATATCCTGTAATTAGTATTATTTGATACACACAGACAAATATATTTAGGGGTATTAGTCCACTGTTCCTAAGAAAAATTACTACATTACATAGTGAAAGACAAATGTTATTCTGAAAATAGTGGTGGTGGTGTACTAGCAAAATCAAACTCCAGTAGAGGGAAAGACTCAAAAAGCAACAGAAGGTGAATAGCTCTGTGCTCAGCATTGCTCAAACCTAACAAAAAAGGCAATTTTGCAAGCACAAACTCTAAAGTTCAGACACTTGAAAGGCAAAAGGTGAGTTAAAGGTTTAATTTCTTCCTTGTGTCTGATGGATACATTAGCAGAGCCAGGAAGGCAGAATTTTCAGTTTTACTGACCCCCATCATTCTACAGTAAGTGCATGTCAGCTCCCATCCATAACGGCATCTTGGTCTCCCTCCAAGACCTGTATGGAAAAAGCGCTCAAGAGTAGAAGGCTCAGAATGGAGAGGTTTTCTGGTTGAAAGCATCCATCTCTATATGTGTCCTGGTAAACTGCTTGAGTTCCACATCTCAAGTAACTGATGGTCCCCTCTGCCCCTTGCTCTAATCATTAGAAAATGGAAAGTCTCATCCTCCTATGGTTATTGTATGTATCATACTGTTGCTTTCATAAACTTATCAATTACTAAACCTATCCAGGTTTTTTATCTCCACTGCTGTCCTTGGAAGACCTTCAGAATATTACTTCTCCAACAGTTACAAACCACCTTATTTCCAGCATAAATTTACTTGTGCCTGGTTTTGGTCCATTCATACTTCCACCAAGAGTATCCATTTAGCACCAAGAATGCCCATCTCCATGGCATTTTACTCCATTGGTACATCAGTAGAGAGGAATCATCATCTCTCAGCCTTAGTTCACTAATCAGAGCAAGCCCTTCTCTGCACCTCACCTGGCTGGATTTCATCCTCCCTGAGACAGCCCCTTCAGCTCCACGTCCTGGTCCCTCCAGCACCTGGTGCAATGCTTTTTACTCTGTTTCTCTAGGAAGCCAGTTACCCCATAGACAGCAAGCCAGCACTGATATTTTTCATCACTGTGTTTCTTTTGTAATTTATACTCATCCTGTGCTCCATGCAACTCACATGTCGCTCCTTTCTTCTTCCCAACTGAAGTGTTGAAAAGGAGAAGACCTTTATCAAGGCTTTTTGAAAGGACCTTTACCTGAAGTGCAGCATCAATTTCTCAAGTTGTCAGTGTCTCCTTTCACACCCTTCAAACTTACATTGCAGATGAAATTTGAAGGGAGAGGCTATACGCAAAGATCATGTCGATTTTAAAGTCCACTTAGTTACTTGATTTCTTCTTTAGTTACCATATTTCTATTCACAGTCAGATGACCTCCCCCTTTTCTTTATGGTTTGCTATCAGGTATCATTTCATCTGAGGAAGTGGAGCTGTGAAATGTGTGACTTGCACTCAATAATGAAGTCTAATATGTTGGCATGAAGTGATCTGAATTAATTCCCCTCCTAGGACTGTGTACACATGCTTGTTTCCTAGCTTTTAAAGAGCTGTTTTGTTCCTAGCCCAGCTGTACATCTCCTGCAGCTCCTTCTGCTTTTTTCTGCAGTGGCCAATGGGCACTGCCCCACTTCACTGGGAAGTAAATGGGTTTATGCTCAAGTAGGATCAATTGAGTGGTTTAGTGTACCTTGCAGAATATCATTTTATGAGGCTTTCAAGAAACAGTTGTGATTTTTCCCTCTGCTGCTACTTTTATCACCAGACAGGTTTATTGCACCTATAGCAACAGACCTATGAAAATCCATGGAAAATGCAGGAAATTAGTTTAACTGAGCTTTAGACCTTTTGAAGAGAAGATTGTCTTTGAAGTGTTTTGAGTCATTAGCATTTCATTTTTGTATAATACAGCCTTACAACATCATTGCATGCAGGACATGAGTGAGTTTATAAACAGCTGCATCTCTAGTCTTACCCCACATGCAGGCATCTTCTTTGCACACTGAACATTTCCCAGGCCCACAGAAGCTGGAAATTCAGCCTGTTAACTTGACACAATTCTGGTCATATACATGTAATTCAAGATGTTAATTTTTCAAGAATTTTTATATTAAAATGTAAAAATATATAGCTTTTAGTTGGAGATAGATTACTAGATTGTAATGCATCATTCTTAAAAGTTCCTGCATCCCCCAAATAAAAGACGTGTTTTTAGTTCTTCTGTAATCAAAAGTTGACTTCAAATATTTCAGCGGATGGAGAAATGTATCTGACCTCTTTGGTAGCTGAATATCCACCATTGCCATAGCATTTAAGTATACAGCATCATATCTTCACTATTTCTTTTTTAATTCTCACCATATTGAGATATGTTATGCAATTTTTATGTTCAAAACCTTCCTAGCTGGTCTGTTCCCGTTTTACCTTCTTCTTTAGCACAAGTAATAGGACTGTCCTTGGCCATTCTTTGTTATGGATACATGGACACGAGTGGTGCTAAAAAATTCAGGGCCACCTCTCTGGGTGCACAGAGTTAGAGCTTTTCTATAAATATGGGGTCATTTTTTCGTAGGAGTATTCTTTTTCACTTTTTATTCTCAGCCTTAGCTCTTTTGTTAGCTCTTTTCTGTTAGCTTCTTTTGCAAGCTCCATGTTGTCTTTAGTCATTCTGAGCAAATTAGGTTCTCACTAAATAATCTAAGCAGTTTATTTTATATTTTCCAGCAGCTAGAGCATGAATACTGATTGTGTTCTGGACTAGCAGGTTGAGTCACACTATATTATATCATTACCTAGCAAGCCAAGCACAATCAATTATATTATGCCTTGGCAAATTCATTCATTACTTTATCCAAGATGCAGCTATAAAAATTCAGAATTTCTGGATACAGTAGCAATTCCCAAATGAAGAAAATGCATGTATTTCATAATGAATCGGGGAAGTCATGTATCTTCATTTAGAATCTCAGAGTGTCTGTGATGAAGGATTTGAATGGACAGATAAACATGGTACTCAAAACCTTCCAGGACCAGAAATCTGAAATTGTGCTAGTTGAGACCTCATTTGCTGATAGTAAGTGATGTTTCTAAAAATTACTTCTCAATGCTAATTCTAACAGTATTCATCCAATGGGAAGACAATCTTCCCATTACATCAAACAAGCCATGAAGACTGGAGTTTTTCCAGATGGAGAAGAGAAGGTGAAGGTTGGGGGAAGGGGGATTCTGATTTTTTTTGGCCAGCACAGATCCTGAGCTGTGCCTGTGAATTTGGGATTTACTTCACTGTAGAATCTTCACTGTAGTGAAAATTTGACCCTTGCTAGAAATATATATTGAAGCCAGTGTGAGTTTTTCTGCTGTCTTTGGTGCACTTCAGTTCATTTTCCTAAATTAGGAAAGCCTGCCACTCAAGGAATAATCTTTAGAAAAATTCACAGTTTCATGACTATGAAGATAAAACCTTATTTTTGACCTTGACTCTATATGCTTCAGGCAATCCTGGATTTTCTTGGAGCAAGATGGATACAAAGTCTGTGGCTTGATAGGAGTTAAACAAAATTGGTTTGGTTTGGGGGAGGATTGTTAATTACTTTGATTTTTATTTGGCAGCCATTCATAAACATCTGTGAGACTTCTCCCAAACCTCTGACCTAACTGAGAAAATACTTCAGTTTATGTTCTCACCTTTTTTTTTTAACTTTCCCTGAAAGTATTAGCTGAAGTCAGTAAGATCCTCTTCTTTGCTTGCACTTGTTAGGGAACTAACACCTACCTATTTTAAACTTGGCAGTGGTGTTGTCAGTGGTGCTGTCAGTCAGTGGTGCATCATTATTTCTAGGGAAGCAGGCAGTGCAGGCTACACTATCACTTTCTCAGTCATACACTTAAAGGTATATGATTAAATTGGGTATGCAGGCTGCTTGATCCATAAACTTTCTATTTTAATGGAATTT